CCAGGAATCAAAACTCGAAAGTTATCAATGAATTTGTTATTCTTTCCCGAAAAACTCATTCTTTGGATTGGTAAGAAACACCATTCGAGATTTAAAACCCGAACCTTTTAATGACCAGCGGGAATTAAAATTCTAAAGTTCGTGTTTTTTTCCAATTTTTAAAATCCAAAAATTATCTTCCTTTCTGGTACTGAAATTTTTGAAATTCATTTTTCTTTAGTTATTGTAATACAAGACTCTAATTTCTTATTTCTTTGATTAGAGTATAGGATTTTTACATCCTAGTTTCCTTGCGCGGTAAAAGAATCTTTCATTGAAAACCTTCACCCATTTTAGGAATTTCTTGTAATTGAAACTCCACCAATGAAAGAAAAATCAATTTCAAGCACCATGTAAGAATGAGGAATGAAGGAGGAGAGTGGTTTGAAATGTAGGAGAATGATATATAGGATTTTAGTGTAAGAGTAAAGCAGGAAGACGAAGGGTGGTTATGGATAAGGGAGGAGGAAGGAAGAAAATGGATTGTAGTGGGGGTTGTGTTTAGAAGTAGTGTTTTTAAGGATTTGGCGTACGTGGGTTGTATATAAAAATTATAGAGATAAAATAGTCATTATGTAACGACCCTTATTTTTGGTAAATAAAAATTTCGTTAAATATTTGAATTTTATTTTAATTACTCGGATTGCTTTCAAAATTTCCTTTTAATTTCTAATAATCCGTCATAATTAGATTTGAGACTTTTAAAATTATATCTTTTAAACACCGGACGACCTAGTCATTTTCTAAAGACAAGTATGCTTATAAAAGCACTTGTATATTTTCCTAGTATTTGAAATAAGATCTTAAAATTTTATTTCTTGGCTAGAAATCCTACTTGGCATGTAGAAATAGTTTCCAACCGATTAGTTAAGGAAACCAAACTACCAATTCACATAGTTACATTTCCCTAACCCTTAATGAGCCTTCTTAACCCCCTTTGAGCCTTGTGAACCCCTCCTAAACCTAATTAAGCCAATAGACAATTAGAGATAATCATTTGACCTTATGTTTTGTCATTTCAAAGCCTTATGTGGCATTTTTCCTCCTTAACCTTCGGTTAATAATTGTTAGGAGAAATTTTACCCTTTGGGCAATAGGAATTAGTCTTGCTAATAAAAGACTTAGATTAGTAAGTCTAGTCAATTAGGTACTTGAAAAATAGGGAGCCATTATATTGTTTCAAAAAGAGGAAAACTAGTCTTGCCACATGCAAGTCTAAAAACAATAGCCTTAACCCTAAATTGGCCAACCTAATTACATTTCTAATTTTTCTTTAAGCTTATATTAGTATGCCCCTTGGATAAAAGTTTCCTAGGAAAATTTTAACCTTTGGTCAATGTTTAACACTTGAAAGCCTTAGCCATGTCATTACTTCTTTTAGGCCTAATAAAACTACTTAGTACTTAAGCATGCCTAAATATGCCTAGGTTTACTTTCTAGGAAAAATATTGCCCATTGAACAATAGTTGTTAGGGAAATTTTTACCCTTTGAGTAAAAGGAATAAGTCTTGCAAAAAAATCCAATAAGTACCCAAATTTGACTAGACAAGCCAAAACCAAATCCCATCATTTTGCTTCCAAGTAACCTTAGATTGCCATGCATGCAAGCCTAAAGAATAGCCTTTAACCTAATTCCCCTCCTAGACTTACTTTCCTAGATTTTCCTTAAGTACATATATAAGTATATCAATACACTTGTAATAAAAGAACCAACTATGGTAAGCCAAGACATGATTTGAATTTACGTTTTTGCCCTCTGAAGTTTTCCTTGTTGTTTGGTCATTGCATGTGTGGAGCTAGGGCTAGGGTTAGTTTTGGTATTTCGCCTTTTGGTTGGGAACAATCGAGAGCGATAGAGATGATAGGCGGTTCTCCGGAATTCACTCGACAAATTGGTGCTTTGCTTCCGGATTTCACTGCTTTTTGGTCCTTATTCAGCCGATTTTCCGGCGATCGTACCCTAACTGCACTGCTACCTTCCAAAATTTTCGGCGATCGTACCCTAACCTTTACCAGTTTTTCCGTTGCTTTGTCGGGAAGCAAGAACTACAGAGAAAGGTATTTGGTCTCTCTCTCTTTCTCAAACAACGAGTCTCAACAAATCTCAGAGCTCTCTCCTCTCTTCCATGGCAAGTAAAATTGAAGAAGATGTCGCCAACAAAGAAGAACCCACTCGAAAACCTATCCACCTCGAAACGGAATACGCATAACACTGGTAAATTTTGTGATTTCTTACACATTAAATCCCTTTCTTAAATTCTCAGTCCAGTAGTTACATGATCAACTTTTGATTTCGCTTAAATGTTGAGATTCTAACGGTTGCTCTCTCTTTCTCACGAATTCTTTGGACATGCATCTTTATTTTCGTTCTCTGATCTCCTTGGTTTTTCGAGTGCAGAATTTGCAGATTTAGTGTGAACTGTGAAGCCGTTTTCAGGTAAGCCACCAACAACGGTTGTATTTATCGATTGCCGTATCATGATCGGGTTTAACTATGTTAGAACCAAGGGTGTTGGTCTTTGAATAAGAGATGAACTGATTTTAGAACCAAATTAACACGAAAAAAAAACCCCTCTATTTGCAAATAGTCATGTGGCGGGTCTTTGAATATGTATATCGGTATATGTATATATGCATATAAATTGTTCGTTAAAATACATGTTTAGTAGATTGAAGGTAGTGAGTTTGTAAACTGATTCTTTATGATACGTTTTCAGGAGCAAATTTGCTGTTTACCAAGATTTATGCAATTTTGCTAATTGCTATTTGCTAACCATGGCTAACTATTGATAGCCCATGCTAAACATTGCTGCAATTTCTAGAGAAATTGATGGCTTGAAAAGATTACTTAAGTCACCACATTAAAGGTTGCGAGGACAATTTTTTGGATATCATGGTGTTCAGTTGACCAATCCAATGGATGACATCATCTAATAGTAATTCAGTAGCTCATATGTGTGAAGCAATCATGAATATTTGCGTCTGATAGAAATTCAAAGTGCTCAGGTCATTGAGATGTCAGGGGTTTGTGCTACATCTGACATATGGAGTGTTGGCTGCACAGTGATTGAACTTCTTACATGTGTGCCTCCATACTGTGTCTGCAAGTAATTGGAAATCCTTTGATTGTTCTGGATGCCAATGAACTTATTTTTAGCTATTTCCGCTTATCCGTACATAGTGATTATTACGTTAGGAAAATAATTGAACACAAGGGGTGTAACCAAAACCTCTCAGATTCTCTTTGGTCATATAAATGTTAGTATGATTTTGCAGAAGGCAGTTGCAAAGCATATGGTTGCTGTCAGTACTAATCTAACGGTATTATACTGTTCTGTTTCCTTTTGTGCTTAGGGAGTTAACATCTCCAGTCATCTTTGATGATATCAGTTTTGTGCAAACGAGTATAAAAAATGGTCGTTCCCTGCATGCTAATCCAATATGTAAATTTATTTTATTCCTCACTTTTGTGTTTTAAGCCTACTCATTCCTTTTTATGCTAATCCAATATGTCAATGTGCCAATATGTAAATGTATTTTATTCCTCAGTTTTGTATTCTCTCTATCTAATCCGTAGCCGTAGGTATAGTGAATGTCTGTGTTCTTGTACTCGTGACACACGAACTAGGCTAAAGCATTGGATGGCTTGGAACAACAGCAGAGAATTTGTGTACCTTATAAACTCCTTTTTGTCTGGGTTCTTAAGTTTAAACCCCATTATTTGTGGGTTTCATGACCCAACAGCTGCGCGAAATATATGACTATGTTTTAGAAGATTCTTGTGATCCACCTACGAGGCACTTTTCAAAAGAAATTTACGAGGGATTCTTGTAAATGGCATTGCATAATTTCTGCAGGTGCTTTTAGGTTTATTGAGCATATGGAATGTTTCTTTTCTTGGACACCTGCAAGAGTGAGTACATCAATGCTACAAAGTTAGTTTGAGAATTTCTCTCTTTATGGGTGCTACCTGATGATATGTTTTCGTAAAAGTGAGAGTTTTGACATTGTCTCGGAAATTCCAGGCCATTTTACCCTATTCTCAAAGATCAAGACACGGAGCCTTAGGTGCGAATCAAGACTGAAGATAAGGGTGTCAGTGCATCTGAGACTGTGTGCAGCAACGTATGCATACCAGTCGTGTCCAACAAGTACTGGTGCTATAGCAGAAAATGGTGATCTGCTGGCACAACGAATCAGGTGAAACTGAGGCATGCTGCCCACCATGTAATAGGCTAGATATTCTGGAGGAGGCAGTTTCATTATTCAGCACCTTAGGAAATTTAATCAAGTGATGTTGGATGGCAATGGAAATATGAAAGGGTGGGAGGTTGGGTCTGTAAGGAAAACTGGAAAAGTAAGGTTTTTTTGATGGCTTAGGCTCTGGAATGTGATTCACAAGGGATGGTCATTCCCTTTTTGGAGGCTTTTCTGGACTTGCTTGATATATTATAATATGAAAAATGTTTTATGTTGTTTTAGTGAGGATATCCAAATGGAAAGTGGTTTTGGGAAACAGTGTTTATTCGGGCTATTCAGGGTTTGGAGTTTGGGGTGTCGATGAGTATCTTGAGCTTCTTTATTGACCGTAGATTTATGAGGATATTGATGAAGCAATATGATGGAGGATGTATGTGTGAGATTTAAATGAAATCCTTATCTCCCTTTCTCATTCGTGAGCAATGGAATTCTTTTCCTTGAAAGACTATTTGGAAGTTAAGTCATTAAGTGTCTTGACAGAGGCATCTTTTCTTCATTTGGACAACTGCTTCTGACCCTTCCTTTTCTGTCGACGACTTACACTGAATGGTTTCATGCTTCCTAATCAGCGTTCCATGGCCGAAAAGTCACAGAGATGGGGCTGTTAATTCCATATCATACCAGGCCATACTGGCCGGTACATCTCATTTTGGGCATAAACCGGAACAATGGAACCTTCAGTTCCATTCTGAAGTAATAGGTAGGGATGACATGATTTGAACCCGCGACATTTTGTACCCGAAACAAATGCGCTACCAAACTGGGCTGCATCACTTTAATTGGTCTACAGTGTCGTTGAAATCTCTTCATAATTCGATGCCTTACTTGTGCACTTTTTCACTTCTGCTTCCAAAACTACTCCTGCTTCCACAAAACTACCAATATTATCCTCTAAGTTCACTTCTTTACATACTACAACAACCAAACAAAACTTGTAAACAACAAATCAACAAATGAGCACGCGAAAACGTGCTTCGCACGTGCATTACACTAGTATATTTCTATACTTGGATAAAAATTTCCTAGGAAATTCTTAACCCTTGGTCAATAAGTTCACACTTGAAAGCCCTAACTTTTGTCATACCACCTTCATTATTTTTTTTTTATCCTTTGGTCAATAATTGCTAGGGAAAATATTATCCCTTGGGTTATAGTTATTAGGCACACTTATGGACAAGACAAGCCATAAAACCCTTCATGATTTCCCTAAGTAATGGCCTAAAATAGTTTGACATAGGCTATGGCATGATTAAAGGTGAGATTAGACAACTCAATGGAGCAAAAGATGAGAGAAAAGGAGAGAGGGAGAGAGGCCGGTTGGAGGGAGAAAGAGGTGGAGTGTGTGCACGTGTTTTGTACTCTTGAACAAGCTATCAACTAGCCTTAAGCCTATTACCCAAATGCCAACCCATTTTCTAGCCAACTTTAAACATAAACCTAGCCTTATTCTAGGCTTCTTTAAACATAACCTAGCCAATGATTTTGATCTTCCTTACAAGCAAGCCATGCCTTTCAAAAATTACCCCTTGGTCAATAATTGTTAGGGAAAAATTTATCCTTTGGATAATAAGTCAAGTTTTTGCTATAAATAGCACCCCACATTGGCCATTCAACTCACACCTTCATCCATTCAACTTCTCTCTCTAAGAAAGTCTTGTGTTCTTACTTTGTTCTTCTTGTTCTTGAGATGTTCTTGAGTTCTTCCTAAAGTTCTTCAAGAAACTCATCCTAAACCACCCTTTCGATCAATAAAGTCTAGTAGTTTTAGTCAAGAACTAGTTTCGAGAGAAATCTTTCTCTTTCGAAGCTACCGGAAGCCACCGTAGGAAGTTACTCCGTCCAACGTACTTGCTTTTTCCCGTAGCCGTACCCACCGCCAAGAAGGAAGGTAGAATACCTCTACTCTATCCCTCGTATAATAAAAAAAAAGAGATAGTATTTACTTGTATGATCAAATGCATGTTAGTTAGTAACCTTATTTTGCTAATAGAATTATGAGCATGAATATAGGATTATTAGATTTACTTGTCTTGATATGTGATAAGGCATAAGTGGTTTTCCACTACAAAGGTGTCCGTCCATGTGACACTATATCTTAGATTGTATATTAATTGCTTGAGCATGATTATGTGGAATAAATGATAAAATGAGCATGCTAAATAAAATAGAGTTGGATGATCTTGCTAGTTTAGTTTCAAGATTTCAAATTAAATGATTTATGTTAATTATGTGAAAAAGTTCCACCGCGGAGTCTAAGCATGAATACGAGACACAAAAATCGAGAAAATTAGAAACATGACACCTAGGGTGTGTTTAAAGGCAATGACTTGGTAAAATATTTTTGAAACTACATAATGACCAATGTGGGAGTCGTGTGTGTTTTGAAGAGAAGAAAAAGCTTTGAAATGTGATTGTGTTCCAATGGGAATCCGTGGTGGCGGAACCATTGTGAGGCTGTGTGTGTTCCAATGGAAATCCGTGGTGGCGGAACCATTGTGAGGCTGTGTGTGTTCTAATGAAAATCCGTGGTGGCGGAACCATTGTGAGACTGTGTGTATTCCAATGGAAATCCGTGGTGGCGTTGTGAGGCTGTGTGTATTCCAATGGAAATCCGTGGTGGCGGAACCATTGTGAGGCTGTGTGTGTTCCAATGGGAATCTGGAACAGCGGAACTGAGGTTGGGTGTGTTAAAATATACTTTTCGAAATGTTGATTTGGTAAAAGAAAAGTGAAAATGATGACACGGTCTACGAAACGCTGCGTAGGAGAAACTCTGATATCATGGACACCAACGATAGTTAATAATGAATGTGGATGTGTCATTGTTAACTGTTTTATTTGATAAGCATGTACTGTGTAGATAACGTTATCTGTATGATTCATTATTTGTAAGTTATGGGTTAGCGGGTATGGGATTATTCTGCTGAGCTTTTGTAGCTCATAGTGTTACCTTTGGTGACCCTGACATATTATATCGGTGGCGACGCTGGTATAATGTGTCAGACTTTGTAGATGATCAAAGTGAGCTGTACACCTTGGAGGCCTTTGGAGCAGAGGAGCTGGCTAGAATGGAGGAGCAGGCGGAGCAGTAGATAGGAACCCTAGTTCCCCTCCTTTTGTTGAATAAAAGTACTCTTGTGAGAATTATGATGTAATAATGAGCCAGACTCTATTTAGATTATCAATAAAATTGTCCATTTAACGTACCCGGAAATTGGGGGCGTTACACATTACATACGAGGACACTTTGTCTTTAACTTTCATTGTTTTTAGTGGGTTGAACGGAAGGAATTATGGGTTGCAAATAGAATCTGCCTAATTTTTCCATGACCATATTGGTAAGAGCAAGGCCAATGGTGTAGAAATGGCTCAAGCCATTCTCATTTTTTGGCCAAATTTGCTAAAAACCATAACCTAATGGTTGGCCATTTGCCTAGCCATTTTCACCAAAAATGGCTCAAGCCGTTTCTCCATATCACCAAAGCCACCACCAAATCCTTCTTTTTCTCAATTGGACCCACACAACTAATTGAAAATAGGATACGACTGAAATTATTGAAAAGAATGGCTATAAAAATAGGGAAATGATATTGATACTCCAAAAATTGATGCAGACACTCCAAAATCAGTGTAACTCCAAAGTCACTTTCCTTTATTTTTTGGAGTGTCTACATCAATTTTTGGAATGCCAATATCATTTCCCTAAAAATAGGCATGTACTATTGCACCAACATTACCATTTTTTGGCCAAATAACACTATTCATGGCTATTTTGTGAGAATGGCTAAGGCCATTTTGCCAAAACCATGGACTCTGATCCTCCGTCCGACCCTTCTGCCACATAACCCACTCCAACTCTTTTAACTTCACCTCTTAATCTCTGTTTGGCACCCAATAAATGGGCATGATGATTGATGATTTTGTGAGGCCTATTATGAGTAAAAAAAAATGATTCAAATCGCAAGTTATTCTTAAAATATTTGTCTATGGGTTCTTGTAAAAAATTAGCTCAATCCGATATCTGTAAGGATTTTTTTCGGGATTTGTAGGCATCCTACAGATTCTGAAAAAAAAGCCCTTACAAATATCGAATTAAACGGGTAATTTTTTTCAAAGAATTAACAACCCTTACAAATATCGAATTAAACGGGTAATTTTTTTCAAAGAATTAACAAAAAGTATTTAAAAACTAATTATTGGTTAGAATCATATATGTGAGTTGTGACACAAGGAGCCATTGGACTTGCTTAAGGGTCGTCGGTGCAATTTATGCCGGTAATACAATTTTAGTGAGTTTTACACGGGAGAGGACAGCACGCAAGACCCAGGAGGGACAAAGGTAAAACAACGAAAAGTCCTCTGGGTATAATACTCAGTAACTAACTAACCACCGCCCAAATCCTCCACAACAACGCGCAAATCAATCTCCCTAAGCAAACCAGACCAGACCAGACCAAACCAAACCAAACCTCCCAGATTTCATAACTACTAAGGATTCTGCTTCTCTCTCGCTCTCGCTCTCTCTCTCTCTCTCGATCCACCATACACCATCTACCTCCGACGGCAATGGTACCTCCGACGCCGTCGACCCAAGGCGGAGCGTCGACCGCGCAGTACACCCAGCAGTTCCTCTCCAGCGTCCTCTCCCAGCGCGGCCTGCCCTACCCAGAAGACGTCAAGTGGCTGATCCGCCAGCACCTCGTCTCCGTCTCCGAGTCCTACCCCAGCCTCCAGCCCAAAACCTCCGTCTACACCCACAACGACGGCCGCGCCGTCACCCTCCTCCAGGCCGACGGCACCCTCCCCATGCTCTTCCAGGGCGTCACCTACAACATCCCCGTCGTCTTCTGGCTCATGGAGTCTTACCCCAAGCACCCCCCGTTGGTCTACGTCAACCCCACCCGCGACATGATCATCAAGCGCCCCCACCCCTTCGTTAACCCCTCCGGTAACGTCTCGATACCTTACCTCCACAACTGGGTCTACCCTAGCTCGAATCTGCTCGATTTGGCCCGCGATTTGTCCCTCTACTTCGCCCGCGATCCTCCCCTCTACTCCCAGCGCAGACTCAGCTCTAATAACCCTCCTAACCCTAACACTCATAACCCTAACCCTAATTTCGCTGCGCCCACTCATTCAGTTTCGGTTGCAGCTCAGCCTGCGATCCCACCGAGATCGTATCCCCAATCACCCTATGGGGGTGGAGGGGGAAGTGGGCGCGTGGCGCCGCGTAGGGAGGAGGACGCAGGCGAGGTTTTTAGGCGGGACGCAATGAATAAGCTGGTGGAGAGGGTGGATGGGGATGTGAGGGAGCTGAGGAAGAGGAGGGAGGGGGAGATGGAAGGGATGTTTAGCGCGCAGGCGGTGTTGAGGAAGAGGGAGGAGGAGATTGTGAGAGGGTTTAGGGGGATGTTGGAGGAGAAGGAAGCGCTGGAGCAGCAGTTGCAGGTGGTTTTGATGAACAGCGATGTTTTGGAGGGGTGGTTGAGGGATAACGAGGGGAAGATGGTAGATGCGAGGAGCGTGAGCGTTGACGAGGCCTTTGAGCCTTGCGATGCTCTTTCGAAACAGATACTGGAGTGTACCACTGCGGATTTGGCGATAGAAGATGTGATTTATTCTTTGGATAAAGCAGTACAGGAAGGGGCAATGCCGTTTGATCAGTACTTGAGAAGTGTGAGGTTGTTGTCCCGTGAGCAGTTTCTTCATCGGGCTACCACTTCCAAAGTTAGGGCTGCTCAGATGCAGGCTCAGGTCAATAGTATGGCTGCTAGG